ACGCGGCTCACGTACTCCAATACGGTGCCCGGAGTCCCCTCCGCGGCGTTTGCGGCGTCGGCGACCGCGACGAAACGCCGCCTGTTGCGCAGTCGCCGCTCCGCCCGAGCCGTGACGGACGGCAGGCGCAGGTCCGCGGGTGCTGCAGCGACCTGAGAACGGACCGGGGCCGCCCGAAGCTCCTGCCGCCTGTCAACCCCGTCGTCTTCCTCTGATGACGAATCAAGTGAGGAGGATCGGTCCCGGCGGCGCCCTCGCCGCGGCGTACTCTCACCGCTGCTGGATCGGCGCCGCCGCCGCCTGTTGTGGGTGATGGTCCGCCCGTGACCCGATGTCGGCGCCGGAGGCCTCCTGTCGCCGCCTGTCGGGGTCATGCGATCCTGCTCCAACCGGCTGAGTCTCTGGCCGAACGCAGGCATCGCCACCGGCTCGCCCCAGCCATGAGCCGCCATGCCTCCGGAGAGATGCCACGGCTCGGGCCCGTCCGGCGCGCGTCCAACCGGCGCGTGCCCAGCCGCCGCGTGTCCAGCCGGCGCGCGTCCAGCCGGCGCGTGTCCAGCCGGCGCGTGTCCAGCCGGCGCGCGGTCGCCCGGCGGTGGCCCGCCCGGCCCGTGGGTGGTCTGGTGCGGTGGTGCCTGACCCGCCCCGCCAGTCCGGTCGACGAGCCTCGGTGGAGCGCCAGCCGTCATCTGTGGCGCGCCAAATGGTGGTTGGTAGCTACTGTCGGCTCCAACTCCTCCTGGGACTGGGACCCATTGGCTACCGGTCTGCAGTGCCGCCACGTGGTGGCCCGACCCGTACTGCCCGGCGGCGGGCCCTGGTCCCGGCGGTCCCAAGCCCGCCGGGTCGTGGGGCCACCAGGCGCTGCCAGCCGTCTGTTGTAGAGCAGCTGCCGGTGGGGCCCAGCTGCTCGGTGCCCTGTTGTTACCGGCCACAGGCGGTCCGTGTGGGTGCACCGGCGCCGCGCTTCCCGGCTGGACGCCGTCGAGCTCAGCGCGTAGACGTGCGTCGATGCGAGCTTGCTCGTCGCTGGCCCCGCTGAGAGGTCGAATGTCTGTGTGAACAAAGAGCACAATCGTCAGCGAACCGTCGTCTCGTGTCCCTGGGACTTGCCACTTGCCCTACACCGCTCGGCGGGTCGATTTTGCCAATTAACACCTCGCGACGGCCAGTAGCGCCGCCGTCACAGTGTGCCGCTGTCCCCGCACGTAGCCCTCATAGGCTCCGCTACGCCAGCGTCCGAGCCGCTGCAGCACGTCGTCCCCGACGCCCGCTGCCGCCGCGGTGGTAACCAGGCCTATGCGCAGTGAGTGCGATGAGAAACCAGGTCCCAGGGCTTGTCGAAGCAGACTGTTAAGCCGCCGCCGTGTGAGAGGCGCCCCCGACTCCAGCCGGAACAGAGCAGAGCTAGCCGACCTTGTCCCGTCATGAGCCTGGCAACAATACCACAAGGCTCTCACCGGACAAGTAGATGTGTCGGTGGCCGGCAAGTCGATGTACACCGCGGGACCATGCTGCCGGTTCTTCTGAATAGCGACACGGATACGGCACCCGGTCGCGGTAAACAGCACGTCCTCCCGGCGCGCACCACGCCCCAGGCCGGTGACCAGGTATTCACTGCTGCGCAGGCCACCATAAAACCCCAGCGTGCACGCCGCCCACACGCATCGCTGGTCCCATGGAGACGCCAGTGTCGCCGCCAGCCGTATTTTCAACCGGCGTAAATGTTGCACGGTGAGCGCATGACGCGCACGCACGGCCGGCTGTGCGCCTCGCGGCTCAAAGCCCCTTAATGCCGCTGTGACGTAAGGCGGCAGGGCATCGGCCATCGGCCAGCCAGATTGAAGGTGCAGGCGTCGGACCGCGGCGAGATACTGTCGCGCGCTGGCCAACGATAAACCCATCAGTCGCATATGTCCCACAAAAAACGTGAGTGTGGCTTCCGTCGCCGGCACGACACTCAAGCCGTACCGCTCACAAAACTCAATGAAACACGTCTGCCCCGTCCGGTACGCCCTGCGTGTGCCCGGTGCAATGCTGTTGCGCAGCAGGGCCTGCGTGACGTTAAGTAACTGGTAGTCGCCTTCGCACGGGTGTCCACCGCCACGCGGAAAACCCGGACATTCACTGCCCATGCTGGACCAATGTCACTGTCACCCAGCGAGCACTGTCACCGCTAGCCGCACACTGCCCTGATTTCACATGCGCCCGGCGCCCCGCCCTCCGCACCCCTCCCCATCTCGCCCTCCCCCCTCCCCCTCCCCCCGGTATCCGACCTCTGCGTGCGTGTCTCCTCACCCTCCCCTCCCCGGCAACGGCCGTCCTCGTGTAACCGAACCCGGGTATTGGTGGCCAGAGTGCCCACTCGGCGCCTGTGTAAACACTCCCCCGGTCTAATTCCCGGCGCCCCGGGCCGCACAGCTGTGCGCCACCTCCCCAACACAGCCGTCCGCCTGCTAGCGAGTGGGACGCGGTGCCGCTGCCGCTCCGCTGATCGTTACCTGCGACAGCCCCGTGACATGCCCTTATTGGACTGCTGAGCGAGTTTACATCACACCACCACTCCGACCCAACTCACCCAAGGTACGATGCTGGTGGGTAACGTTTAACAGAGCCAGGCGCCCTTCCTTCTCAGCCTGAGCGCAGCAGCATACCAGGCCAGCTCTGGATACGATTCCCTCGGCCACACATGTACATACATGCTGTTGCTACCGGGTAACAGGGCCAGGCGCCCTTCCTTCTCAACCTGAGCGCAGCAGCATACCAGGCAAGTCCCGGATACGAGTCCCTCGGCCACACGGCTACCGGGTAAGAGCCAGGCGTTCTTCCTTCTCAGCCTGAGCGCAGCAGCATACCAGGCAAGCCACTCTTCCCTCTCAACCTGAGCGTAGCAGCATACCAGGCAAGCCACTCTTCCCTCTCAACCTGAGCGCAGCAGCATACCAGGCAAGCTGTGAATATTTCTTTGTCTATAGACGGAAGTCTCGGCTCGGCCCGAGCGCCCACACACATGCACCACGCCGGTTACCAACCTCGCCCCCACTCTCTCTCTCTCTCTCTCTCTCTCTCTCTCTCTCTCTCTCTCTCTCTCTCTCTCTCTCTCTCTCTCTCTCTCTCTCTCTCTCTCTCCCATTCCCTCTCTATCTCCATCAAAACCAGGCCTCTCGTGTGCCTTCGCACTGCCCCGTACCTTGGCTCCGACGCGTCGACAACAGGCCGACATACACGCACATCATACTGAGGGAAACCACTGCCGACGTCAGTCGCACCCACCTGTCATGTCGCTGCTGTCGGTGATGCGGCAAACCTCAGCGTGCACGCAGCTACACGCTTGTAGTAAGGCGCCCGCTAGTGCTATAAGGTCACGGCCACACCTCAGGTATCGGGCGCTGTCACCAACCCACCATCACTGTCACCATAAATAGTTATCAGCACGAACACCAAATGATGACCATTTTCACTCTACGTCCGTCACCATGGCCGTCGCTGCTCACACTGGTCAGCCCCCTCCCGTCACCGTCTCCCGCGCCCGTCCCTCGTAAACATCGTTCACTCGCTATCCCTACGCACACACCGCCCTCCCCTCTTCCCGCCCCCTCCCATCCCCACTGCGCCCAAACTGACAGTGTCCCCCCTTCACACCTGCATACAGTGCCACTATCTCCGTCTCACGTGTCGCCCTGTAGCTATCTCGTGTCGCGCCACTAATCCCACATTAGGTACAGCTTACCGCTACCTGAATGTATCCTTGTGTCGGATGCCTCGGCCTCAGCGGAGAGCAGGCAGCGGCACCCGGACTCGTTTGGGCCATGATGCTGTCAGAGGAATGCCTCTCCGCCCTTGTCACCTGGCATACCTGGTGTCCTATCAGGGACTGAGAACGATCCATCAGACCAAGTGGCGGCCGCCACCCGACAGCCAGACGAGACGCCACGCGAGACGCCCGGAGAGATGCTCGAGACGGTTAGACGCGAGCCAGACGGTAGCCAGACGAGACGCCACGCGTGACGCCGGGAGAGATGCTCGAGACGGTTAGACGCGAGCCAGACGGTAGCCAGACGAGACGCCCGGAGAGATGCTCGAGACAGACAAACGGGAGCCAGACTCCAGACGGCACCGGAGAGTGGCGCGGGACGCTTGTGAGTCAGCCGAGAAGCTCGAGAGCTGGGCGAGACGGTCGTGGCGCCACGCGAGACGCCGGGCTATGGTTAGACGGGAGCCAGACAAGGCTCTGAGACGGCCAGACGGGAGCCAGGCGAGACGCCCGACATACTCGTAGGCTGGAAGCTGGAATTGAGGAGATAGAATTGTGGGAGATAGGGGCAAGGGGCCGTGATGAAGAAGACGGAAAGCCAAGCCGGAGCGGTTAAATGCAGTGAGACATTGAAACGAGGCTCATAGATAAGATACATGAGACAAATACGGGCGCATCGACAGATGACGAACCTGCCACTGAGAGTCGGCCGGGCTCTTCCGGACCCTGCAAATCTGCTGGAATAGCTTCAAGTCTCCCCAGATAGCTGGTTAAGAAGGATGACACCGTCTCCCGTACGCGATGGAGTGGCCGGACGTCTGTGACAGACGCCCCCAAACCTGTGTGACAGACGCCCCCGCCTTATACGGAGCACAGCGAACGGCGGACGCACTCCCCGGGCCGCGGCCGCAGTCGTGGCGGACGGTGACGAATGGGTACAGCACCGCCGACCCTATACGAGGCGCCGGATAAAACATAGCTGACACAGAACAATTACCGGGATGGATTGAGCGCCGCACCACCGGCGGGGATGATTGATGCCCGACAGAGCGGCTGAACGCCCTATTTACTTACAGTTTGCCCTAAAGGAAGCAGACATTTGTAAACGCAGAATATAACATTTCTCACATGTAACTGAGCCGCTATGTGTACGAGTATGCGTTATTTGTTTTATATGTGATTCGGTTGGACTTGAGCGCTTTGATTTATCCCAGTCGGCTAACACACTGTGTTTGTCCCGTTTCAGCGGCAGCTCGGCCTCCATACCTCCTGCCGAGTACGTGTCTCCCGTGTGAGGCAGGCCGCCTGCCTCCGCCCGTGTGACCTGACCTTGAGCTGACCTCGGGTCGGCCGACCTGTCCACTGAGGTAAGACATCCCGCCGCTCTCTGGGGGAGGGGACCACACAGACCACACTGGCCCACATCGGGGACCACACCGAACCCCACCGTCCCTCCCACACCACCCACCCTCCACGCAGCCTGGCTGCCTGCAGAAATTAATCCGGCCAATTACTTGGCCAGATTGGCGTGCGATACCAGCCGCCTGTCGTTCCGATGTACGGGCGTACATCACTATCAGTCGGCTAACGGCTCCGAGTTTGTCTCGTGTCGCGGACCAGTCAGCCACAACAGCGCGAGCTGGAGCGATGCGAGACTTTTTACGGCGGGAACGGGTCGTGGTGGCGTGGCCGTCTACAAATGATATCTGGCCGTTTTGACACCTGTGACACTGGGATTAACGCTGATATGACTGGCTATTGTTTAGCAGGGGCTGGGGATGATGTGGTGGCGTGAATGGGCGTAACTGCACGTGGGAGGAAGGGGGAGGGTATAAAGCATACACCTGTCTAGTCGCCGGTGATGAAACTGGTCAGGTGGAAATACCACAACGCCAATCCATTGGAATGTGGCTCAGTATGACCGACTGACATGTCACCTGAAGTGACGTGCTATCTTGGTGGGGCTCTGGGGCTTGTTCAACGCTGAAAATTGATGAGTGTTACCTACTCTAAAAATGTGTGGCGCGAAAACAGCCGGCACTTCCCACCTGCAAGTATATACGTTTCTTGCTTTATATAGCTTTTCTGAATAGCTTTTTCGAACAGAATCGCCACATACGAGTATCTCAGAAACAAATAAACTGTCTCGTAATTTGTCGTGTAAACTCATAACACTAAGTGCAAAAATGTCCTTTTCCACAGGGTCTTGGTCGCCAACAACGTGCAATGCTGGTGGCTACACTTTGGAGCTATGAGGGTAGCCGGCAGCGTCCTGACCTGACTTTCGGGGTCGTCCTCCATCGCCACTCTCGCTGATTGGCTCAGGAGCTGTCCAATTAGAGCTCGGTGTATATCGATGGTCCCCACTGACCTGTTTGGCTTATGGACAACAGTGTTGATGGATACCTGTTACGTGAAATCTGTGATATGATACTTTTTTAGATTGGCGACTAGCCCTACTACGCATACGTAAATTTGAGCTGTAAGATAGACGCATAGCTTTAGATTATTGCTGGATTTGACTGTAACTGAACGATACGTAGCTATGCGTGCAATTGGGTCTGTTCCGCAGTTGTTTTACGTTGATTGTGCCAACGTGGTGTGTCCGCGTTACATCACCCCTGGACGGAGCTTGTTTGCAGCGCGCTTATCTTCTTCTCCCTCTAGCCTGACAGCGAGCATTGTGGTAATGAAAACGGTCTTATGTCAACCTAGCTGTTTGCTACACTTTTGTGACATCGTGTGAATCTGGCCCGGTGTTTAATTCTTGGAAGCAAATGTATCGGAAGTGTTCTGTTATTGCTTCTAAGTTTAAGGTGTGTTGCAATTACAGCACATTGGATCTCTCTCTCTCTCTCTCTCTCTCTCTCTCTCTCTCTCTCTCTCTCTCTCTCTCTCTCTCTCTCTCTCTCTCTCTCTCTCTCTCTCTCTCTCTCTCTCTCTCTCTCTCTCTCTCTCTCTCTCTCTCTCTCTCTCTCTCTCTCTCTCTCTCTCTCTCTCTCTCTCTCTCTCTCTCTCTCTCTCTCTCTCTCTCTCTCTCTCTCTCTCTCTCTCTCTCTCTCTCTCTCTCTCTCTCTCTCTCTCTCTCTCTCTCTCTCTCTCTCTCTCTCTCTCTCTCTCTCTCTCTCTCTCTCTCTCTCTCTCTCTCTCTCTCTCTCTCTCTCTCTCTCTCTCTCTCTCTCTCTCTCTCTCTCTCTCTCTCTCTCTCTCTCTCTCTCTCTCTCTCTCTCTCTCTCTCTCTCTCTCTCTCTCTCTCTCTCTCTCTCTCTCTCTCTCTCTCTCTCTCTCTCTCTCTCTCTCTCTCTCTCTCTCTCTCTCTCTCTCTCTCTCTCTCTCTCTCTCTCTCTCTCTCTCTCTCTCTCTCTCTCTCTCTCTCTCTCTCTCTCTCTCTCTCTCTCTCTCTCTCTCTCTCTCTCTCTCTCTCTCTCTCTCTCTCTCTCTCTCTCTCTCTCTCTCTCTCTCTCTCTCTCTCTCTCTCTCTCTCTCTCTCTCTCTCTCTCTCTCTCTCTCTCTCTCTCTCTCTCTCTCTCTCTCTCTCTCTCTCTCTCTCTCTCTCTCTCTCTCTCTCTCTCTCTCTCTCTCTCTCTCTCTCTCTCTCTCAAAAATTACATGAATACCTATTTATTACATAACAATGTTGCATTCAAATAGCTGGTAATTCGTTTTGCAGGGTGGCTTTGCCTCGTCACAGGAAACATTTGAGCCGACCGTTATATTAATTTCGCATGCCTTGCATTCTTTTATGCAACGTGGTTCGCGTCCGACCTCATTCGCGTGGAAATGTTTCACGGATCTTACATGACTGTGTGTTCGTTGTCTGACGGTTTGCTACTGTTCCAAGTGACGTGTGTGATTCTGGTGGAATTTGTATGTTGTGAATGTGCCCTGTGGCAGGAGGCACGATTCAACAAGTCATAATGCTGCCATGGTACTGTTGCAATGTGTACAGATGTGTCAAATGTTAAATATAACTTTGAAAAGGGTAGTTTGTTGCATTTGGCGGAGCATCTGCAAGTTAGCTGTGGCGGAGACCAACTCATGTGTCTGTGAGCGCATAAACGACATCGCTTACGCGGTTTTGGCTCATCATAAGCTCGTCAAAGGCTCATCACAGACTCATCGGTGCAGAACAAAGAAAGCATCGCGAAGATTTAGCATCGACTGCTTCACATTAAGTACTCATATTTGCCATGTTTTTTAACTCATGCCTCTCTTCTCAATTGAAAAATCACATCATTGATCCTCCCCTAGAAACTTGGATGCAGCACGTTGATTATTCTGAATATTCACGCTGGCCCTCGTCAGTCCCCTCAGTGTTTGTCCCTAATTGACCTGAATATTGGTGAACACCTCCCCTGGTCGACCTGTCACTCTGCGCGCTCCCCGGTCACAAACTCACAACGGGACTCTTCAGAGCGCCTTTCTATTTAGCCTCCCCGCGCCCCTGGCCGTCAGCATTTTCGATGGCCAACTGCCTGCGTCATCTGTCTCCCCTCGTGGGGACCCCTCTGACTCCCCCACCTCCGAGCTCCCTGCCGGACTCCGGATCGGAAACACGAAAAAGGTGCGGCGGTTAAATGGACGCGCGCCGAAGCACAATAGAACTAATGGAGATGAGCCGGCTTTGATTTAAGATCGGTCACCTTTCCCCCTCGGCTGGCCCCGAGGGAGCCGCCTCGAGGGAAGGGACGCCCCACTGGGGACGGGAGGGGAGGAGGGAGGCCCGGGGTCGGACTGCCGCTAGCCAGATGGGCTGCGGGTCCGATACACCCTGCAGTGGAGGATGACGTTCAGTCGGATGGGCCAGCTGTGTCCCCTCCCCCCCTCCCCATCTGCTGTCAGTAGCCGTCAGTCATCCGTCCGGCCAGCGCCAGAACGGTAATTAATTTATTCGTTTAATTATCGGCGACAGTGGCGGCCAAATTGGCGATGAAGCGTGTGTGGCGGTGCATCGCTGTCTCTCTGTGTGTGTGACGCTTTGCCTCCAGCGACGGGAGTGGAGAACGATAACGAGCCAGCACTGACAGATTAGCGCCAGCGTCGCCAGAATTAATAACGTCTATTGGAGACTCGGCCGAGAATAATAGCCAGCCGGTTTCACAAATGGTGACGCTGATACGTCAACAATTAATTGAGTCGTTGGGTGGTACGATGATTGAATGAGACACGACGGTTCTGGACTGTAAAGAAGGAAACGCAGAGTTCTGATAATAGTTGTGTGGGTGAAAGAAAGGCTAATTAGCTGTGAGCTGCACGGAGAAGCCCTAGATCGAGGCCTCATCGCTGTTCGAAATGAGTTGCAACCTTCAAAACAATGTAGTTAGAATGGCAATGTTTTATCTGCCTTTCGACCAAAGATAAATAATTAACGATAGCGATGAATGAATAACGCAACTTATGTGCATATTTCGATGCATTTATGAATTTAGTGCAGCATTGGGGTGAAGGACTCTGTCAGCATGTATCATTTAAAGCATCCTCATCTAAATTGAGCCTTACAAAAGTCACTAAGTCAGCATTCAGTGAAAATAGATAGCTCATTTACCAAGATGGCTCAATTTTCGATATTTGGAGGTAGCTCACCGAAGGTAAAAGAGTTGGCGTTTCATGTATACGTAACTTATTTCGTGCGATAATCTTCGTCATTAAATCGCTGGCATATGTTCTTTATAAAATGTTCATTATTCATACCTGTCACCTCCGCGTACAAGGCCTGAGATAGTTTGCACGTTTCCATTCTCATTCGTTAACACCACCGACTGCCCGGTTCAAACCCGAGCGGATATGAGACCAATACCGTACAGCAGGGTACCGCGGCAAAGGACGGGTCTGTTCAGAGATAGGCCTCGTGACCATCTTCTTTTACCGTCAGCCGCAGTCACATGCCGCAGCGGGCGACAGTGCAGCGAGCATGACTCAACACACATACAGTGGTGGGGTAAATGACGGAAACCACACAGTCCGACAGCAAATCATCGCCAAGCAATGTTCGGGCCATGAGTCGGCCATTATACACGCCGTAAGTGCACGCATGAGGAATGATGCATGCAGCTCAAAAGTGACGGTTATTTCAAAAGTGGATGATAAAGACGTTAATATTCATTTGACGGTGGTTCAAAGTTCGTGGCTTTCACGCCATAAAGAAGAGTTATTGGTATTCTTACGAGCACTTGGCTGTAAGCGCTGGCAGAGCGACACGCAGCAGAACAATCCCGGTCATTTCTCTGATATGGTTTATTTAGCAGAAAAATGTTTCCCATGAAGTAGGTACGCATGCTCTCAGTCCTTCTTATTGATCTCAGCTTTGAATTCATATCATGGATGATGTAGCTCATACCATCTGACACAAAGGAAACATTTCTCTAAATCTGACGTGGCTAAGCACAGCTCGAAAACATGAGGTTACATGAGTGTTTTGTCAACAACGCTTATATAACAGCTGAAAATAAGCACCGGTCATGTTACTTTGTGTGTTTAGCTCCGTGTTTCATCGTTTCTTTTTCACAACGTGCCAGCCATGTCGCTGACAATCATTTTCAATCCATGTTCCACGCCATGCGCTTCAGACATTTGAAAGTCCAAAAAAAAAAAATACCCGCCGCCGTTCCGCAAGAATGTTCCCTCCTCACGCGGCTTAGAGAAGACTCAAACCGTTTCTGGTCACCACACCACAACCGTCAGTGGTTTCCAGCCATTCCGGTCTTGTCACCAACCCTTGCGACGATCCCGCAGCCATTGGAGCGACACCACGACTCCATTTTACCCTGTCCCTGCAAGGCGATCGTTTCATGAGATGCATGTTTCGGACGGCGGTGGAGCCGGTACAGGGCCGGACCGAGCTGGGCTCGGTGGAACGGACTGGTCGACCGTATCACTCACCCCCTGACAGGAATACCGATGTCGATCATTTGTATTCGCCGCGATCGAATCGGACGACCCGCAGGTGTGAAAATGCACATACATTGGGTGTGCGCTGCATTCGAGTGGGGATATGCTGCTTGTGTATGAGATGGGAGACGGCGGGATCCCGAATAGAGCAGTGCAGGACGTGAGAAGAGTGCATGCGGTCGGTCCCACCGACTCGGGATGGTAAGCTACTTGCATGGTCGTTTGAAGTGTTGCTAGGAGCACACTCGTGCAATGCATGCCAGATGCAATTCGAAATTTTTCTCATAAGAAAATGAAGCTCTCCCTTTTCATATGCTTTTCGCTGTAATCAACCCCAATTTGCATCGATAAAAATGCTAATTGCACACAACAACGCTTCTGTAAAAAAAAAACAATTAATTTATTGCATCGTTTCTTTGTTGTCAAAAATTTGGGGCAGTGCGCTATTAAAACCACGCATTTCATGCAAATGTTTGATTAGCTTGCTGCTGGTGTCTGGCAGCTCTATGGTCATTGGTCATGCCGGGGAGTGATAACACCTCAGGCTGATAAGGCAGTAAATGATTTGATTTGTATTTTGACGACTTTTGGGCGGGTTGTCTGTCACAAACAAGAACGCGTTTGTTTGGAGATTGGAGATTGGAGAACAAGGAGATACCTCGAAGTGTTTGTTGAACTACCAAATGCACAGAAGGCTTCTTCGAATGTTGAGCACTATTTTTTGGGGATGAGGAGCTTCTTCAATGTGTTAGTCGTTAGATATCGTTTTGTAAAATGCCAAATCTGCAAGTCGATTTTTGCCTGAGACGTAGATGCTCTTTTTGTAGTGCAGCCATGTATTCTATCCATGCAAACCGTGTGGTGTGGTGTCCGTGCATTGGCACACACTAAGAAGAGTGCGACGCCAACAACTATTAATTTTATAGCATGCTGCATGCTTTCATACAAAGTAACAACATGCATAGAATCTGTTTCGCTGCAACGCTCCTACTCCAGGAGACTGCAACACCCGAACGGAAGGCCAA